CCATCATCATAACAGGCATCATCATCACAAACATCATCAGAAAAAAAATGATGAAACGCATGAAAACCAGAATAGGTAAGTAATTTGCTCGATGTTTTGAGAGTGTGAGTGAAAATAGAGAGACTTATATCATGAAAGTTTTCAATATTGGTTTTTAATGAAAAAAGTGCGGTCATAGGTAAAGATTTTATGAAGTCTTAATATTTCTATTCTGATGAAAGCAAATGCGTATTCGCAATAAAATTTACCTTGAGAATATAATTTAAGTTGTGAGATTTTCCATCTCGATCTAAAATCGTACAACAGGTCTTTTAAATTGTTTGCGATATATTTGCACTGTCTGTCATTATAGTCAGAATAAGCTATCATCCTCTACATCAACTGATCTGGTCCCATCCCCACAACAACATCATCACCAATTATCGAAAAGAACATCAGCAACACATCAAACTCCGTTAACATTTCATGGCTTACCTATGATATCATCAGCAGCCGATGAACCTCGTCAAATCCCCATTCATGGTGAAGCGCCTGTTGTTGATCCCCGTATAAAAATTTATTCAAATCGTTTAAAATCAAAAGTTCGTCAATTATGTCTGGAACGTTTAGAACAATCGAAATCAAACAGTGATAGAGCTCAATTATTTGATGAATTGGATACGCTGGTGGAATGTCACGGGAAACGTTTATATTGGTATAGAGTTATTTGTTTTCTACAAAATATTCAAACGCAACCAAAAGCTTGCTCATCATACATCCGAGAATTGAATAAATTGTTAATATTAACACCAACATTATCAAAATTATTAAAAGTCAAACAGCGATATCCAAAAAAGATACCTATTGATGACGTATCCCCCTTAGTTGACCCTCGAATAAATAGTTCATTTTATCTGAAACCACAAAGTATTTTGATGAAATCGTTACAATACGATTCACTTGATGTTGATAAACCAATTTTAGATAGTGAAGATATTCAGAGTCAACCGTATATGCAACAGCCGCAACAACACCCAAACGAAAATGACGACAGTGAAAATGATATGAATGAAAATGATTTTGATCAAGAAGAAATGGATATTGAAGAAGAGGAAGAAGAGCGAGAAGGCGATCAAAATGACGAAGAGTGAATCTTTTCTATGTATGTATTTATGAGCGTGTGTTTGTTTGTTTTGCTGCTGCTAATTTTTTTTGTCTCATTTCTTTTTTTTTTATTCGTTTTTACTGCTATGTAGAGTTTGGATAATATATACGAATATATATATTTATATATATATATGTTGAGAGAGAGAGATATCAATTCATGTCGACAGAGAGAAAGAGCTACTATTAGACGTCAATCATCACTGTTGATGACAGGGAACTACTGAAGTGTCAATAATCAGTTGATCTGAGATTATCATAATACGTTAATCGACTTCATGTGGTAAGGTAAAAATGGCTTTGTTGATTATGTACTAATATTGTTTAAAAAACAAGATTTATTGCACAAATTTATTTAGAAGAAAACCATCTACAGTTCTGGAAAACAATGTTTTCATACTAACAGTATTTCATTTTTGCCTACACAGTGCGCTTCTAGACTATTTTATTAAATAGGGAAGATCATAATGTGTCCTGATAATAAGCAAAAGTTGATCAAATTACATTCATTATCAAAGTTGTTCAAAGTTATCATTCACGGTTAATCTTCCAGACATTCCTCAATAAAAAATTATAATATTGTCTGCTTCGACGTTTTTTTTTCTACTAGTATGAAGTATTTCGTCTAGTCAAACAGAATGAACGGTAAACTATCTCATGATCTATCGCAGATACTTTGAGATATTATTTGTATTGGCGAGCTGCTACTCCGATTCCACATGTACTGGATCAACTGAAGAATGACCAAATGCTGATTGACCATAACAAAATTTTTGATCGCTGTCGGAAAACATTGCTATATAATCAGATTATATCAGTATGATTGCCAATATTACAGCCTGAATGGTGTGATGAAATCGTTGTAGGAGGTTATGTTATGAACACCCGATTGGTGGTAGTCTATATATCATGCGACTGGCAAAGTGTTGAAAACTGACACATGATGAAAAATTATGGTTATGAGGGGAAACGTTATTTCAAAGAAAACTTAACTATAGTGCAGGGAGTATAGTGCTACACATGTAAACATGTGAAATTCTTAAAGCGATAGGGATAGTTCCACATTGAGATCTGCATAAATACTCGTCCAGATCACTAGATCCGCTTACTTCTGTCTGTCTGTA